CTTCCATGTGGGCTTTGTTGCTTCTGAGCTAGATGGCCGCTTGTTTACCTTCAAGCCTTTAAGACCCCAGACGCTATATCTTTTGACAGCCGGGCACCATCGGCTTTCTTCACCACATTTGCTTATGCACCCGCTTTGTCTTCAGCGGTCGTGAAGGTGAGCATCATGGAATCTGGCCTGCCCCCTTTTCATAGGCTCCTGTGGTGAGCCTTCGGACTAGGCTGGGGCCCTGAGCCCTCCAGTTCGCAGCTTGGGCCTGTGCTGCGCCGTTGCCCCCTGGGGGGGGGGCCTGCCTCCCCACCACTTGGAGGTAGGTCAGGCCCCTGCAGGCAGCCCAGGTGCTTCGGTTTCTTGTCAGAACGGGACATTGATGCCAGCTCAGGTGTGTCCAGCTCAGGTGTGTCCAGCTCAGGTGTGTCTAGCTGAGGCCAGGGGCAGGAGCTGCTTGTTCTGAGAGCCTGAGCTCGGGCAGGGGCTGCTGGGAAGCGAGAGGGGCAGGGAGGTGCCAGGAGCTGGCCCCCCCCCAGGCTGGTCCGCTCCCCCCTCTTTCTCTGCCAGCGAGGGTCACGGTGGACCGGCTCCCCGGACTCCTGAGGCGGCAGAGGAGATTGGGTCCCTGAGACCGGGAAGGGCTTGCGGCACAGGCTTGAGGGCCACTTCCTGGACCCACAGGCCCTGGGCTGGAGACCCTCCTGGGTGGGCCGGATGTGGCCCAGCGAGCTGCTGTGGGACCTGAGAGGCTCCCAATAATGGATCAGGCCTTTCGCGAGACAAGCGGCGAGTCAGCAGCAGGTGTGTGGGCTGGTGGTCGTGGCGAGGGGCTTGTGTCCCCAGTGCTAGTGACCGAAGCCGATGCAGAGAGATGGGGGCCAAAAAGGCCTGCTTCTCCCCCGCCCCCTGCAGAGGGCCGAGCTTGGGCCACAGGGCAAGGCCCGAGAGCCCAGGCGGGCCTGCAGGGTTGGGACCGGTTCTGTGTTAAAGCTGCCATCTTCTCCCGGGGGTGCAGACGGCCAGGGCAGGGCTGCCGTGGGTGGGCAGGAGGGCAAGCGAGTCTGCACTGGGCTATGTCCACCTTGGGGGAGGGCCTTTGTCTTATTTGCTCAGAAAGATCCATCGAGAGGTGAGCCCTTGCCTGCTTTCTCTTCTAGGGTGTCTCTTTAATTTACCCCTGAATTACACAAGTGCCCCTTGGACCCATTCGGTTGTGGGGAGGCTGGTCCCCCACAGAGGGCGAACGTGTGCCTGACCCAAGCCATGGTATTTTCAGCCAAGTCAAATGCATGTGAAAGTCCGACAATGAACGAGGAAGGTCAAAGAGCAGCCGACGCATTTGAATTATGATGTTGGCAAAGAATATTCAAAGTAGCGTGGACGGCCAGAAGAAAAACAGATCTGTCTTGTCAAAATCACAGCCGGAGTGTTCATTAGCAGCAAGGATGGCCAGACATCATCTCACGGACGGTGGGCATGTTATCCAGAGAGCGGTCCCTGGAGAAGGGTGCGGTGCTCGGTGAAGGAGAAGGTCAGTGTCAAGTGGTAACCCCTCAAGGAGATGGACGGGCACAGTGTCCACGGCATCGGCTCACACACAGCCATGCGAGGCTGCTGCAGGGACAGGCAGTGTTCGGCTGGGTTGGACACAGAGTTGCTGCGTCGAAACCAACTTGATGGCCCGGAACATCAGGGGCTTAGGGTTGCCACTCAGCCAGACGAGGGGAATAGGGCACAATTACCTTCCTGGAGGGCAGGCAGGCAGGCAGGCAGCGCTGAAGCTCAGGGCTAAGAGGCTTCCCCCTAGAATCTAGACTCTACAGGATGGGCCCTTGTTCAAAAGGTCCCACAGAAGGGCGAATTCCTTTCAGGCGTTGAACAAACGACCTTTGTTCTGCTGGGCTTGAGATTTCTGTGGTGTTTGTTAGTCCCCCTTTTCTGTCAAAGTGCTCCCATTTGTAATGGAAATGTCCACCTTGTACACAAGGCGCAAGGACTTTGGAAACAGATGACTTGGGGTCTAGATTTCAAGAGGTCACAGCAAGGGCCATTTTGCCCCAGTATGGAATACACCGAAGGTCTCACCTGGATTTAATTTAGATGATTCGGAAGGGTGAGATTTGGGACCTAGAGTTGCTTTGAGACTTGGGAGATGGGGGTGAAAGCGTTTTGCATGTGGCGAGGGCATGAATTCTGGGGAGGCAAAGGGTGGATTGAATTGTGGGGGCCCCCCCCAAAAAAAGAAAAGAATGTGTGGTTAATCCCACTCTTTATGCCTATGGTTAACATCCCATTTGGGAGTGGGTGGTCTTTGGTATGTTAACGAGGAAGCATTAGTGAAGGGGTTATTTTGAATCCACTAATTTTTTTTTAACATTATATTTTAAAAGAGAAAGAATTGACTTCTTTTGAGATATAAAAGAGATCCAACAAGCAGCCAAGTAGAGATGGGGGACGATAGATGCCAAGGCATACAGAGACCCTCAAGGGCCGGGAAGCAGAAGCAGAGGAGACAGAGCCAACAGAGGGAAAGCCTGCTCCCTGGGGTGAGCTTCTAGATCCTTCTAAACCATGAGATTACATGTGTTTGCCAAAGCCGTCCACTTGTGGCATTTCTGCTACAGCAGCACTAGATGATTCAGAGAAGGGCCCTGGCCGGGCCACCTGAGAGAGGGTGCTGCCGTAACCCCTGGTAGCCAGGCAGGGCGGGAAGACGTCAGGGCACCAGCTGGGAAAAAGAGGCGGAAGACAGACAAGTAGAGAGAAGAGGCTGCCGGGGGTTGGAAACCCAGCTCCATTCCAAGAAGCTCCGGTGACTGCAGACAGGTCCCATCACCCACCACTCTGCCCCTCAGCTTCTACATCTGAGGAGCCGACCCCGGGGGTCACAGGCCCTTGCAGGGGCTGGATGGAGTGCTGTGTGGCCAGGTGATGCTCCAGGAATCCGGGCTCCTGCAACGTCCGGGTTCTGCCCTGGAGCCTGGGAAGCAGAGCAGTGACCAAGACAGGACAAAGGCCTCCAGTGTTCCAAGGATCTTGTATTATGGCTGTGGGGACAGATGGCAAACGGGGTGACAAGGACTGTGAAGACTGTCAAGGGTGCTCTTACAAAGTGCTGGGGTGGGAAAGGCCTGTAGGAAGGGTGGGGGGGAGCCAGTGGGATCCTTGGACCGAAGGGCATGGCAGGCCTCAGACCGGCAAGTGCAACTGTCCTGGGGCAGGAGGAGGCCCCGGTGTCTGAGGGGGAGGAAGGAGACCTGCAGGGCAGGACCGGCATCCTAGCAGGTGAAGCCGGTGTACTTTGCTGGCCAGGGCTCTTTTTAGACCGCGGTGCCCTTGACCACGACAGGGCAGCCCTTGCACGGCCAGAGCCTCCCCGCAGGAGAGTCCCCGGACCCCGCCCCAGAGGAGGGGCGGCCCAGGTCAGAGCCTGGAAAGGGCTCCTGGCAGGCGCGTGGGCAGCGCTGTCACGCGTGGGTGACCGCATCCTGGGGGACGGCAGCAGGGCTTGTGCGCACCTGGGCCCAGCAGACACGCCCTGGCTGTGCAGTGCCACCCACCTCCGCCCGCCCAGCGTGCACACCTGGCCTGACCACGTGGTCAGGACCGCAGGGCGTTCGGGGAGCGTAAGGGGTTCCAGTCCGGTGGGAGATAGGGGCTTGGGGGTCGGGGGGGCAGCAACAGGCAGGCGCACTGCTCTGTGCTGGAGTCTGCAGACAGGGTCCCAAGGCCCACCTTCGCCTTGTGCAGGTCCAGTACGGACGCGCAGGTGGGCACGGCCGGGGGAGTCGGCAGGTTCTCAGTTTGATGTTCAGCAGTTGGTGTACATTTTGTTTCAGCTGGTCCATTGCAAGCCCCTCCGCGCACACTTTCTCCCTCTGTTCCCTGTTTCCATCTCTCCTTTCCCGGCCCTGGGAAGTCTGTCCGTGGGCAAATGCTGCCCTCTCTATCTGAAATGGCTGATTATTGGAACTCGTGGTGAGTTCGATTCCAGCCCTGAAGGGTGGGTGAGGGCCAAAATCGTGGGGGTTCCATCAGTGTCAATCTGCCCAGGCAGGCTGATCTCTTCCGTGGTTTTGAGATTTGCCCATGATCTTCCTCCCGCTCTGCTAACGGGATCCTTTTCAGAGCAGGTGGTAAGGGCAGTCGGGCACCATCTGCTCCTTCAGGTCTCAGGATCGGGGACCTGATATTGGTGTGGTCTATTGGTCCATTGCAATAATTGTTCCCATGTGGTTTTCTGTTTCCATCCATTCTTCCTTCCTCGGGACACAGGTCAATAGCTGCACCTTAGATAGCTGCTCACGAGCTTTCACGGGCCCTCGTTGCTACCCACCCCTGTAGGAGATGTAGACC